TAGAGAGTGTGGACTCTGTGGAGGTATAGGGGGGCACTTGGTAATTACAGACACAGTGGTCTGTTAGGAGAGGGTCAGCGTTGAAGGGACGAGGTTCCGGTGGGTAGGTTAGACCTGGGAGCCGTAATAGGCTCTGACAGTGTAGTACTTAGGGTAGGGTAGAGGTTCTGTTCTGATTGGTTACTCTTTACAGCATTATTGATGAAGTTGGCAATGGTATGAGGAGCAAGTCTGATTGGTTGCATTGGTGATTGGTCGTGGTTAATGAAGCCCTCCGGTACATCCGTTAAAATTGGAGCGATTCAGAGAAGATTAGCATAACCCCGGCACAAGGATGACACGCATAAATCGAGAAACAATAAAATAGAAAGAAATCCATATGTATGATTAAGGGGTTGTCCCCAAAAAACACAAAGTGATAATAATGAGGGGTTCGGTGCTGGTCTTTCATCAATCTCGCGCTCTGCTGATATCATGCAAAAGGGACGAACGATGCGCCCGTTTCCCAGCACAAGCTGCTCCCCGCGCATAGGCGATGACGTTTGGTGAATGTAGCAGCAACTCCGACGCCCGGTGACCAGTGAAAGGGGTCAGGTATTGTCCAGTGTGAGGGTCAGGTATTGTCCTTCATCGGCACGAAACTGATGTCGATTCTGGCCCAACTACTTCTCCGGAAGTCACGCGGGAGAGATTGCCCTTGCATTTGCCATGTGGCATGTTATTATTATTTTTTTCTGTAACTTTGCGCATGGCCCGTAACATTATTGGATACCTCCTTCGGAACGATGCAGCATGGCCCCTGTATGCGCAAGCAGGACTCGACCCCAAAACTTAAGAAAATCGCAAAATGAGAGGACAGATCCAGTCGTTCGTTTACAATCTCGCCGCTCACTTCGCCATTTCGCGAACTTGCGATTTTCCGGGCCCTGTGTGAGTACGTCGGGCCCTAAGCAAGGCTGATTGATGCACAGATGCGTGTACTTCGGGACATCCGTTAAAATTGGAATGCTACAGAGAGACAAGACTACCGGCAGCATGGCCCCTGCGCGAGGATGATCCGCAATAATCGAGAATGGTGCACACACGCGGCTGTTAGAAAACACCTTATAGGCTCGTCCCCAGGGAGTCGGGTGAACGTAGTAGTAATGGCAAGGGCTACCCCTTCTCCCTTTTCTGTTTTTTCGTTGTTGTTTTTTACCTCTTTTGGAAAGGAGGAGAAAATGCGTGTGGACAAAAACAAAAACAAAAACAAAAACAAAAACAAAGAGTCTGATTCCACGGGGGTCTGTTCAGTGGCCACTTGTGCATTATTCAGCCTCAGGACCACGTGCCGGGAGAATGGGGACTTTCTCTCTCGCCTTCCCACTGCGGAGGAAGCGGCCCGCCTCTCCACTCCCGCACCTCAGATGGATCGATCACGAGAACGGCGGAGTCCATAGGTATATAGCCCCTCAATAGGCGTACTCCCACCAGTCCAGCGTCGTCTCGCAATCCAACTCATTACGGATCGGTCCCCTCTTCCACCCTCCCCTCCTACCTATCAAGCTGCCATCGCCGGTGCTCCAGCCAGCATTAGCAATTTAGCTCCAGCACGGTGGCGGAGCAGAGCAGATTTGAATCCCAGAGGAAGCAGAGCAAAGTGAGAACAGGGACGAGGATGGCGGCGACCGTCGATGACCTCTTGAGGCTGGAGATGCCTGCGGACGAGAAGCGCATCATTGCAGAGTACATCTGGGTGGGAGGGAGCGGTCTTGACCTCAGGAGCAAGCCCCGCACTCTGCCTGGGCCCGTCAAGTCGGTGTCTGAGCTTCCCAAGTGGAACTACGATGGCTCCAGCACGGGCCAGGCTCCCGGCGAGGACAGCGAGGTGATTCTCTATCCGCAGGCCATCTTCAGGGATCCCTTCAGAGGCGGCGACAACATCCTTGTCATGTGCGACTGCTACACTCCTCAGGGCGAGCCCATCCCCACCAACACTCGCTACGCTGCCAACAAGCTGTTCCAGCAGGCGCTTGAGACGGAGCCGTGGTTCGGCCTGGAGCAGGAGTACACTTTGCTGGAGAAGGAGCACAAGTGGCCGCTGGGCTGGCCCGTGAATGGCTACCCTGGCGCGCAGGGCCCGTACTACTGCGGCGTGGGTGCTGACAAGGCGTGGGGGAGGCGCATCGTGGACGCCCACTACAAGGCCTGCGTGTACGCCGGCGTCACGATCAGCGGGACCAACGGCGAGGTTATGCCCGGGCAGTGGGAGTTCCAGGTGGGGCCGGCCGTCGGCATCGCAGCAGGTGACGAGCTGTGGGTGGCGCGGTACTTGCTGGAGCGGATTACTGAGATGGAGGGGGTGATTCTGTCCCTGGACCCGAAGCCCGTGCAAGGCGACTGGAATGGTGCCGGGTGCCACTGCAACTTCAGCACCAAGGCGATGAGGGAGGACGGCGGATGGGAGCTGATCATGGAGGGCGTGAAGAATCTGGAGCTGAGGCACAAGGACCACATCAAGGCGTACGGCGAAGGCAATGAGCGGCGGCTCACGGGCCGCCACGAGACGGCCAGCATGGACCGGTTCTCGTGGGCCGTTGCGAGCAGAGGGACGTCCGTGAGGATCGGAAGAGACACGGAGGCGAAGAAGAAGGGGTACATGGAGGACCGCCGCCCGGCGTCCAACATGGACCCGTACGTCGTCACCTCCCTGGTCTTCGACACCACCACGCTCTGGAAGCCGTTATAGAATGAGGTATATACAGTTACATAGTGTAAAACAACTTGGAAAAAAGAAGCTTGCGAATCAGCAATTAAAGCATTCTCCTTGGCAAAATCTATTTTAAGTCAACGTTCAAAAAGTTTCTACTATTCGAATATAGTGTACTGCGGTCCTTGCCCTTCGTCTTAGCAGCTTGAAGGATCAATTATTTTACAATGATGCATTCATGAGATAATGTAGATATATCTAATCAGTACATCCCATTCAGAGCCTGTTCCGATAGTTGATTGTCTTCGAATTGTTCTTTGGATGAGAGAGAGAGAGAGAGAGAGAGAGAGAGAGAGAGAGAGAGAGAGAGAGAGAGAGAGAGACGTGTAGTTGAGGAATGAATAGTGCAATCGTTNAGAGAGAGAGAGAGAGAGAGAGAGAGAGAGAGAGAGAGAGAGAGAGACGTGTAGTTGAGGAATGAATAGTGCAATCGTTTCTGTCATAATAATCGACAGGAGGAGTGAGGTATGCAAAGTCTCTATATGTCCTCCACATCGACATGGCGAGGTCAGTGCCCTTCATCTTCGTTCTCTGGCGCCAGCTAAGCGAGGATTGGTTCTGGTTCTTTGTCTTGAAATTTAAGATCGGAGCTCGTTTTTATGAGGTGGATGCTTGCGATGACTTTGTTTTCCGGTGTGATTGTGCACATCTCCGTACCTTTTCTGTGACAGTATCGTTGGTCTATCTGTATTCTTCTCTGCCCTTTAAGGAGTTTTCTCGTTGTTATCTCGTCTGTTGTCAACAGAGTGCATGTGGCCGTAATCGTGAGCAAGGGCATTGCTGAAAGTCCTATTTTAAATACGCGCGAGCCGAGCAGCACTCCACAGCGGACATTTCTGTGCCTCGTTGTCTCGCCCATATTAAGAAGATCAACCTGTCCCTGGTGACGCCGTATCCATCGGGCCCGATTCTCTTGAGGCAGTACCGGATTTGTTCGGACTGATTCTTGTTCCCTCGTATTCTGTTTCTCCCCCCTATCAAATCTCAGAGGAGGCTAAGAGGCTGCTGCCTTTCCCCGTACGCAACGACCCCTCGTCGTGACCGTATCCCATCGGAAAATGGCTTGTATGCATTCATAATCAGGGTGCGTTGAGCTCGGGGGAAGACGATAGCAGCCTACAGCTCGGGTTGTCAGTACCTTGATCGCCTGCCACATAATTTAGCGGACCCACGCCTGCTGGCAATCACCGTCCATGGATGACGACTTGTAACTTGTAAGCCGTACAAATCTCACCCTATTCACCGCTGACTTTTTTTCTGTGAGGCCTTTTCGTAGTTTCTGGAGGGAGAACTGGTGATGCAGCCACTGCAGACGGCACTTCACATACTTCATCGCGAAGACTGAGGGCCTTTTTGCCGAGTCAGCAGAATAGGCATGTTGCCATATTACGCAAAACCCTGAGGAGAAGAGCAAAGTGAGAGAGGTTATTATTATGACTGTATCGTCAGCTGATGAGGAGTTCACACAACGAATTTTGCTAAGTGTCTAGCTGATTCTGCTTTGTGCAGCTGCATCGTCAGCAAGGCCGCAACGGCTTTGTAGACCTGCAACGACCGTCTAGGCCTGCAATGACTCTCTAGGCCTGCGAAGGCTGCGATGACTACGTAGGCCAGGCCTCTAATGGCCTATCTACTATGTCTGAATTTCGTACTGACCTCGATTGGGACGCGCTTCTGATCCTTGGTTTTCTCTCGTCATGGTCGGATTGTCAGCGTACTGTGTGTGGGTGCGTTTGTGTTTTCTTCTACTGTTCTTTCTATCCTATCCTATCCTAGATGACATTGCGAAGCAACGAGTTGGACTAAGTCTTGTCCCTTCGAACCTGTGTTCAACCTTACAGGCCTTGATCCCGAAACAGAGTAAACCAACTGCCCACCTTGTCCTTGGCGTGGAAACCTTGTGCGAAAAAGTCTAAAGTTTCCTTCTTTTTTTTTTTCCACCTAAAAATTTGGGCCATCTCTCCATTCATGGCATTTTTTTGGGTGTCATACTTGTGCAGGGATCATGCTAATTACCCTTCTGGGTATGGTACTTCTTTTGTTTCCACACTCGTGTGGCAAGGCTCCTGTAAGGCCCCTGTTTTAACATGCAGACCTTTTTTTTTGGAAAAATTGCATATGTACCCCACTTAAAGATGCCAATACCCGCTATATCCATTCCCCGCGCTACCTTGCATCTACACCCCAGGACCCAGACGCCCTTCAACTTTGCATACAACCCCTGTGTGAAATTGTAGGTGTACCCAATCCCGTAGGCCCTATATTCTGGAGCACCTAATTATGCTGATGCCCACCAAGTAGACTGTTGTGCCCAAAGGCTGCTGGGTATGAGCTTAGTTTTTTTTTTTTTTTTTTTTTTTTTTTTTTTAATATATGAGCTTAGTTTCAGCCATCGGGTAGCAGTGTATATAAACAATTTTGTAGGTCCTCCTGGAGGTCCCGGGTATGCCAATAGTTTTGCGGCTTTTGCCTAGGTATGTCCATCATTTGTGCATTCGAATAAATGGTTATAACCGCAATTTTGCAGTACCAACCAGGGTCCACCTCGGTCCTGGGCACGCCATTTTCTCCATACAGACACAAGTTGGGACTGGGAGTGGATATAGCCAGTTTTCCCATTTTTAAGTGGGGTACAGATGCCATTTCCCTTCTTTTTAACCCTTTTCCCAAACCGACTCTTTGGGCCTTGCTCCACTCCTCTACACTCTAGTTACAGATGCAATTTCCTTTTTTTTTCACATTTTCCCCCAACCTGCTCTTTGGGCCTTGCTCCACTCTGCAACACTCCACAGATATCTGGACTGTTATGTGCACTATCTGGACCGTTTCCTGACCCCTTGTCTAGTAGCCTGGACCACAGAACCTAAACGGATTGTAGGCATACCGGTAGCAGCAGGGAGGGTGAAATGTGTTCTTGTGCCATCAGTCTCCGTTTGCAATGCAGACATATTTGCCTCATCTCTCAAATATTTGTTTCGCGTGCACTGAGCTGTTATTAACACATTATAAAGTTGATGATTTCCGCCAAGAATTTGATTTCCTGGTTGTGCTAGTTCGATGCCAATTAGTACAGAGAAGCATGTGCCCATTACTCCAGCAATTGCACCAAAGATTAGATATAAAGTACCTATACCCTTGTGGTTTGTGGAAAGCAGCCATCTCTGTGCAAAACTTGTCATATCAGGGGTGGGGAACGCAGTGTGCAACCAAAAAAAAAAAAAAAGAAAAGAGGCCACCTTCCTGACTGTAGTGCAGTTCCGAACTCCGCGGTGCGACTTTCTTGCAAAGCCGAGTTTCGACTGCATAGTGAACTTCCAACGGGACTGGAATTAAAAAACGCAGTTCGAAATGCATGTAGAAACTGCTTTCTTGACTGCGCCCTAGTCMCCCCCCCCCCCCAATAAAAGAAAAATGAGAAAACTACGGCGCAGTCAGGGTTACAGTTTGTAATTGCACTTGAAACTGCGTATTGGCAGTTTAGTCAGGGCCCGAGTTTCAATTGCAGTTGAAACTCGACTGGCTTTTTTTAGCAGTTCAGTCAGCCTGAGTCAGGCACATGGGCGTTTCTTTCTTTTTCTTTTCTTTTCTTTTTTTTTTTCTTCTTTTTTTTTTGGAAAATTTTTCGAAATGCCCCTCCGAAATCTATTTATTTGCGGCATGCCCCTCAACTGCCCTACTTACCCTGTCATGCCCCTCCGCAATGATTCGAGTTTCTGAAAAAAAGCAGGTGTCGTTTGGGCCTGAAATATGTTCAAAATGCCCCTACAGGTACTGGTTCCAAGTTTCTAGTATGCCCCTACCGGATAGCCGTTGAGTACGAGGCCAAAACAATTCCATATGCCCCTACCGGTACCTTCCATCTTTCCAGGATGCCCCTGTGCCCGTTGGTGGCAGTGGCGGCTGTTCCC